TAGTGATAGGGACATTCGGACGCTTCCGGATTATCGCCGTAGGTCTGTAGGCAACTCCTTTACCAAGAGGCGTGGGGATCTATCCACAGTTTCGGAAACACCTTTCGAGGTTAGAATGTTGCTATTGCCCCTTATAGCAAAGGACATAATTTAAGACTGGAATATTGCGGACAAATTCAGCATTAAGCACGAAGACACATCAGCAACATAGGCAAGTTTATAAGTAATATACAACTATACATTATTCCAAAATACTATTTATCCCTTGAGCCAAGTGATGCGACAGTCTACGCCTACTCCCTTGTACGATCACACGCGTTTTACTTCAATTTTTCGAAAGATGAAACATAGTTTATAAAATGCCCTTGTCAATTGTGGAAAATTTTCATTGTAAACAAACATTGGCTTTATTTCCCCATAGAACATTCACTTCCTAATCACAACACCAGCTTAAGATGCAAATTTTTGCAATGCGTGAAATTGGAGTTAGTCACCTGGACTAGGAGGCAGCCCCAGGTTGTTTACTCAATTTTGTCCCTTTGGGTGGTTTCCACAGTTACGAGGAGAATGCTTGCACTTCTTCAACTTCTTGTACACCCTGCTCGCTTAAGACAAACCAAACGACGGTTAAATAACATATGAAATAGAATTCATCCAACGGACCTACCATGCCTGGATGTGGGAAGAACAGGATAATAAGTCCTAGGCAGATACCAATGGCAGCACCACACACGAGGGTCGACAGGTAGAGAAATGGATTGAAATTTTCTCCCAAGTATGGCGAAGACCCGTTCATCCAGTGCCCTTGCGTGAGATAATATGGTCTATCCGGATCACTATATGAATACGCCACTGCAAAACCAAAAATGACCACCACTTCATCCAAACTCCAACCGACCACTGTTAACTGCATCGTAGTAGGCACGAAGACATTGGAAGTACTCGCGACGAAGGCAAAACTAGTAGAAAAACAAACATAGATGCAACACAGTGAAAATGGAATTGGAAAGAAGAGTAAGTTACAGGATACCTCATACTAGCTTAGGGATAGTCAATGTCTGGTCTCTCTCTTTTTTGAAACTCCAAATAACTAGAAACCGTTATTTTTTAAAACAATACATTAATATAGTACAGGTTGATTCCGTACGATGAAGGTATTAAAATAGCACTGGCTTAGTGAAATTGTCGGTGCCATCGGCAAAGGTTTAAGAACAGTCCAAATGACTTGGCTTACCACGTGCCTCCTTTAGCCACAACATCAATATTCTTTAAGAACACACGAACTAATGAATTCTGCAAACATTCCCGCACTTAACTTTAACGGTCTATTTGGAAAACATGTCTTCGGCAATTTATCGTCGAATCTGGTGCTGATCACATACCGCACTCACCCCCTGATGACAGTGATTTTCATTCCATGCACTCGGCCCCTGGCCAATACTTGGAACCTACTCTACTTTCCCCCAACTCTAGAGCAATGACTTCTACATGCCTTTTGGCCATGCGGATGGGTTGTTTTAATCAAAATGCAAGTAAATATCCTTTCCGACTCTCATATATTTTAGTATCAATACAAATTTAAACGACCAATGATGATGAATTAACGGAGGCGTATGCTTGTCAAATATACCTTTCAAATCTCAAATCACCAGGCACCCAAGTTAAGGGGTATATAACGTGTTCATAGCATGAAACATTCGTTTTTAAACAAGAATCAGCAACGAACACTAAGAATCCTACCTCATTATTTTTGCGAGATTTTGAGAAGAAAAGACAATCCTTTAACGCTGAGTAAATATGCATTCTCGGAATACTGACTGCTACAATTGGGGACTAAGGCGCAGTGCGGACCGGAATTGAGCCTTTGCACCGATTCTCTCATAACATAAGGTAACCCAACTAAATGGTTTTAAGCTAAACTAGTCAGTCAGTTCGGTCTAGTGTCCTTGTGGTCACAGTTATATCTCCTTTGGAAACGGTCTTCAATGTTGTGTATGGGTTTTGCCCTTGAGCTTAGCCCCGCAGTGCATGCAGTGTTAATTCAACGCATCCCCAAGCACCGAAAACTCTATCTGTGTCAAGGTTGGCGACTTATCCATCTACCAATATGACAGAAAATAAACATGAGTGGTTAACACACGATGTTCAGTAGACCAGAGCCATAGAAAAGCCCTTATTAGAACTATCCTTGCACGTTCCACTGCGCCGCACATATCAACGCTCTTCCTGTTTCTCGTAAAACGCTATTTGGCAATGGAAGTCTTTATCGCCCTGCTTTTTGAATTTCCCACCGCGAGCGTCTATAAGAGACACCGGCATAATCAACTGCGAAAGTTCCATGCAAAGTTTCAAACCGTCGTCTAACAGATGACATTTATGACTTCAAACATACTACTCCCTTGATTGTATTATCTTTTTAATTCCATTAAATTTGCGTCAAGTGGAAATTTTATAGGTGAAATACAATGAACGTGTGGATTTCAAAAATATTTTTGTGTTTTTGTATAAAATGAAACATGGATAAGTGTTTGCTTGCTTGCCTCTTTTATGCGCTTCCGTAACGTATAAATTGAGCTTCAAAGGTATTCTGTAATTTAAGCCAAACACACTGACTAGTACTGACTAACAGTGGCTCCCTTACCGAGTGTGAGCTGTATAAGTAGTGGAACATGCAGTTAGGGGTAAATGAAAGATCATGCTTGACTGGTACTGTTAGTGTAGTCCTAATGACAATCACAAACAGTGACGCAGCAACATTGTATTCGTAAGAAATCTGTTCTGTAGCTTTGAATGCGCATTCTTTTTTAAACTAAGTCATAACACATCCCCCTCCTATTATTTTACTGTCATGGGCTATTTTTGTTTTTGACAAAACAGTGGGCATTTGGCAATGAGAGCTGAGAGGTAGATGAGTTTTCTCCATATTTCATGGTGGTAGTATGTCACGATGCAGGCGTATTACTCAGCACACAGTGATCACGCAGCTCCTGTGTCGGTGCAATACAAGACATGCGATGTTAGTGGCCTGTCAATATACGACCGTTGGGTTTTCCGCCAAAAAGACAGACAGAGAATGGAATTTGACATTAAATGTCAGCAAAATTCCAGTAAAGTACATCAAAAAATGAGCTTGTAGCATTAATCATAGACACCTCAGCGCTGAAGAAACAGTTCATATTTCCGAAATACTGGATGCGTGCACTATTATAGTAGCGGTCCTGTGATTAGTTTGCGGTTTTGGTAAGACGTCCGATTATTTCAAATAAGAAAAATGACTACTCAGGAATCACCAGCGCTTTAATTGTTTGTTTCCTATCGTCATTGTGTTTTCAATGTTTCAAACGGCGTAAGTGTTTGCTGGATGCCAAAGCTATTTATTATTCCAAATCAAAGCTCTAGATGGAGATTTCTCTAAATAATTTATTACTTCATATCGCTGGATGCTGATATTAGAAAATGTATTATACTCAAACATGACAGCGCGATAGCAAACACAGATGTTTGGATTGTCGTTGGCGTAACATTTTTTTGATTTCCAGTACTTATTCACGGTCAGTTGAATATCATTAGGCAGGTATGCGTTTTAGGGTAAAATGTGTTAGGACCACGGCATTAATATTCATGTGTACTAGTGCAATTACTTATTTACCATACGAGACGCGGCAACTTTAACGCTATACAATAATAAACAATACACCTTTACTTTAATAAATCCTCACTACTACATTTTAGAAGTCCTATTAAAGTCTCAGGTATAATGAAGACATAAAGCGGATGCTCACGTTCCGCCCTTCGTTCTCCAAGGCTCGCTATCCTATAGTCATGCCGTCACAATCAACTGTTCCAAGGCTTTCTTTTACTAGCCCCCCAGCCCCCCCCCGAGGCTTGACCTCGCAGGTGCTTCTGAATAACCGATAACACCTGTGTCAGCGTCCTCCGTCCTTCGGCGCTCCCGCGGTCCCGACAGTTGACCTCAGCTCAATAAGCGCGCCTTCCTAAGAGCCACTTTACGCGTCACCACTGGCCAACGCAGCAGGGACCCTCTGCGGGCAACATACCCTCGGGCAACTTGCAACATACCAATAGCAAACCATTCGAACTCGCTTCACAGTCATGTAAGAGCAACCGTCATCAACCCACGCAGTCAGCACCAGCGCTGGCTTCGCCAGTGGCCACTGCCACCTAAGCATGCAACTGGGAGTTCTGTATACAATAAACCACTCCTTCTGGTGACTCGCCTTGTACCTCCAGCCTGGGATTCGACCTGACGATTGTAGTGATCAAGGCACAACCCCAGTTTAGAACCCTACAGACTACTACCTGTGCTTTTCCTGTGCTGCAAACCAAATTAAGTAAGATCTGTTGGAAGAGTACAAAAGATAATTAACTGAAATAGCAAGGCTACAAACGAGTTCTTAAATTTAGGCTCTCATGAAAATTAGGTCCAATTTAACCTGTCAGATAATATAAGTGTCTGACTTAGACATACTGGCCGGATTTTTTTCATCTGTTCATTATAGTGACTCATAAAAACAAAGATTAACAAAGTCATGTGCTCAAAATGCAATCGGTAGGAATTATTGCAGCATGACTACTTCTTCATCAACATCAAACGCTTAGGGAAAACGAGTGAAACTGGAACAGGAAGCTTTCAGAGGTTATTAACGAAATGTTGGAATGGGATAATTCTCTGCTACTCGAGTCGGAAAGTCTGAAATAAAAGTCGGGCCATACGTTTCTCCGAACTCATGTTCATTGGTGACAAAGTAGGAGAACTAACACACACTAAGCGTGCATTTTATTCAAGCGTGCCAAGCACATACTTAAG